CAGCATCTAGCGTCTCCAATGACCCTGTCCTGCATTTCATTTTATTCATTCCATCCGCCTCCCGCAGACCATTGCAAATTCTTGATTCCAACGGTTTGTCTTTTATTTATGATGCCAATTTTCCTGACGTCTCGGCCAGGACTGCCATCTTCGTCTGACGCATTTCTTCTCCCGCAGTGGGGTGGAATAGTCATTTATAACCCCCCCGTAGACTTGCAATCCAACATCCAACTCCCTTCATCTGCGCTTCACTCCGTATTCTCGACTTTTGCCGGACAACTTCTCGCTCTCCTTGGTGTTCCCAGTTTGCCACCAGATGTGCAAACAGATGCCTCAGTTCTTACAGGTTGGCAATTAGACGCCCTTCTTCGTCGGCGCGCATTAGAGAATGCCGAAAACGCCCAAGACACACTCGAAAGCATCGTCAAGCTCGTTGACCAGATCGAAAATATGCCCGTGGGGCAAGACGTCAAAGGCGACGTGCTGCACTCGCTCACCGCTCTCGACCAGGTTTATTGATGAAGCTTGCTCGCCTGGGTTCATCTAACGATTACTTTTTTAGATGTACGCATCAGCTTATACTTCGTTGAACGAAACCCTCCACCAGTCGGCTGACGCCCTCACTCTTGCATCCCGCGCATTTTTCAACCCTGGGATGCTGGCCCTGTTGTATTTCCCAGCAGAGCATAAATACGCGGTGTACACGCCGTTGTTCGCTAGCGCTGTGATCCCGTTGATGGCTGCCGCGGCGAGGGAATTTATGGCGTGGCGGAGACACCGGAGAGAAGCTGTAGCACAATAGCTATTATATCTTGAATTAATCGATACGGGCTTGGATTGTGGAAAATAAACTACGAGCAGTGTTTACTGAGTGAGTGAAGGAGTAACGTCCGATACAAAATACGCTGTGTACAGATAAAAAATACAAATGCGGCTAGAAACTATGATATATACACTCGGCGCAAAGCCGAAAACTTGCATGTTGTCTTGCTTCGAGGGCATGTCACCATTCCATTGTTTCTCAAAGACATTTCTTCCATCGCCTAGATCATAAAAGTCGTTAGCAGTGTATGGAAATAATTATGATCGATTAAGTACGCACCTCTCTTGAATAAACATACCCAGTGTCAGGGAACGCCAAAGGCATGTTATCGGCATCCATGATTTTCCCCGTGATAGAGCATACAATGGTCGAGTTGACGTGATGGCTGAAAGGCACTTCTTCCGCAAGTTTACCGAGTCCAAGGCCTTGCGAACCGGATTCAGCCTCGCCATCACATACAGGGCAGTCGACATTCTTCATCGAGTGCGCGTAACAAGCAGGAAGCTTCAAGGATGCTAACCCGGCGTAGAGGCTCAGGTGTAAGAGAGGCTCTGTCGGGAGGGTGTTCAAGGCATATATAGCTTGACGGAATGATTGGATGAGGGCAGTCCATCGAGACATATCATACAGTCTCTACCAGCGACTTTGATTAATGAGGCATATGGGCACGCGAAGGACATACCTTGTATCTCCCGAATGCCATCTCAGGCTTAAAGGCCAATAAACCTGCCGCCTGCTGGATCTGTTCCAGGTGGGTTTCCCGCCACGGCACCAGATGCTTTCGCGAATATTCAATGGCTTCTTCGTGTTTGCAAGCCCGGGAAAGTTCGATGTATTCTTGGAGGCGAAGGTCGAACTCGAGGGTGCTCTGTGAGGCTGTGAGAAAGGTACTGATGCGTTTAGCTCGACATACCTTCATCTTGCGCAGTGCGTTCTTGTTTTCACTACACCATGCAAGGGCCTCTGTACAGCTGTACCGTGCGAGAGCATCCTCTATCCGCTTGATGTCGCTGAAGAGATCAATATCGACCAAGGTCTGAAAAAAAAAAAAGCTTAGGATGGTCCGCGCAAAGGACGTTATGCGACGCACCTCGAGGTGTTTCTCTTTCGCAATCATTCTCGCTGTCTTCTCTTTTCCATTTCGTAGCGCCCAGTCCACCAGCCATCGATCCAGCCTCGTATCCGCCCACCGCTCAAACTCGGGGTCGTTCGCCGTCGGGATGTTCTCAATTGTGGCCAAGTGCTGCAGTCGCTCACGAATCACATCCTGCGTAGGTTTACCGGCGGTATTGTGCAGCTCAGACAGCTATAGCTTGAATTATTAGTGACTTGGGGCAAGAACACACGACCGGTCCCACCTTGCGTTTAAGATTCTCCACATTGTTGATCATAGCATCAATGGATTGAACGGCGGCCTCGGAGCTGACCTCGCCGGAAGAGGATTGCTTCACTAGCTCGTTGGCCGTCGCCTGAACAGCTTTGAGGTCGCGGTCGACGTTCCTCTGTGTTGTACGGAATACTTTGCGGTAGTTTTCGTACGGAACCTGAACAGTGAGAATCAGGGGGTTACAACGACATCCTGAGGACATACTCTAGCAAAGGGCTGTTCGAATAGCAGAATCCCATCTACATTGAGTTTGGTGGCCATGAGAGTAGGTGAGAAGCGGCCGCAAGCGCCGAATGTGTGTAACGTAACGGACGTCAAGCCGATCAATCTCTAAATTTTTACTACGAACTACACTCGAGCTAGATACATGGTGGAAACGACAGAAGTAATACAACGCAACGCCTAGATGAATAGCATCACTCGACAACGAACCGACCCGAAATAGGGCGACATACCACTAGATCCGAATGAAGGTGCCGAACGGGACCAAACTCTCCGAAGAGAGGGAAGTAGGTAAAAAATTTGGATGCACAGCAGACATAGAGTAGTCTGAATCGAGTTACACACCATCTCCCCGTTCGCGAGACGGGTCGATGAGCATGTGCTGCGAAGTGCACTAAAGGACGGAGCCCTCTGCGCGCCCACGGAATGCATGTTTCCCCTCGTACGCCGAATGACCGCGCGAAGCCCCTCTGAATAACCTGTCCCGTTTGTTGCGGGGCATCCAGACCAAGGTACCGACTGCGAAGGGACGTGTGACCTCGTGGAGGGTTCAGCAGAGCGTTCCCAGTGTCGTGTACATGCCGATTTTGAGGCGTCGAGGTGTTGTGGAATTTGCGACCTATCGTGATTCGTGAACAGGGAGCAGCCATTGTAGGCGCTATTGCGTTGAGCAGACTCCGGGCGGCATTGCACAAGATCGTAAACGATGAGGAGAGGCCCATGACCACGCGCATGGGTGTTGAGACCCCTCCCTGCATTCTCCGAAGAAAACACCTTGGGCGCCGATAGAAAAAACATGGATGGGCGAGAAGAAGGGACCGCCCAATCCCCGCGACGAATTCCAAATCCGACTCTTTATGCTCTCCCTTCGAAAGAAGATCTTTGAGATGATAAAAGAACAGATGGTTTTCTGATACGCCGCTCGACAATTAAAGTCGGGCCCCGCTGGAGCCAGTCTAGGAGGATTGGGATACTCAGACCTTGGCCCGCTCGTGAAGGAGAACTGGTAAAGTCCTGTGCGGAACGAGCGTCGCAGCCTTGAGTCTGCTGTGCGGAGGAGAAAAGAGCTCGAGTCACGCTGCTTTTTATGTTGACCGTGACCTTGCCGTGACCGTCCCTGGACACTCCGATTTCCTCCGCGTGTCTCCGACTGTACATAACCTCCGCATCAATTCGTACGCCGACTCCACCCAACTCCTGGTCCCCGGGGCGAAAAAAAAGGACTGACTCGAGGAAGAATTCCATTCGAGGTCCGGCGAGCGACGGTCTTTAGGCTTCTCCTGCTTTCCTTGCCTCCCTCCACATATTTACTGGCAGTGGCTGCTTCTATGACGCCTCGACGTCTTTACTGTGTTGAATTCGCCGCCAACCTTTGGACCCCGCATAGACTTTTGCTTTCAATCAAATGTGGGCCCATTAATCGTTTATTGCTTCTCATCTGCCTCTTTTCTTTGCCTCCACGCGCAGTTCTGTTGGAGCTTGTTTCAACTCTTGGAGTTTTCCGCCGATGAATGCAGCTCTGATCCCTTTCTGTGGCGGCGGCCCCGAAGTCTGTTTCCACGCGATCGATGTGATGTCGACACTATTTCGTGTGGATTTAATCTGGCTCACCAACGATTGGCTTTCATTCATTTCTCTGATCTTCGCGGCCATCCTTGCGCGCAGCTTATCCTTGCGGAGCCGGCGACACACTCTGCGGACGGGCGTTCCCGTCCATCGTGTAGTGGCTCCGGGGTGGAGCATGCCGCATTACTCAGATCCAGCCCCTTCTTGATTACTTGCAAAGCACAGATGCGGGACGGCGTACAGCTGAGTGCGATAATCAGCCCCATCTATTGGACCTTGTGCATCTCGGGCTCGCCAAACTTTCATCTCCTTTGCCAAAATTCATATACTAGTGGAAATGAACACATTGTGTGCCCGCGGCGTTCCCCTTCAGACAACTTTAATCTACTCTGCGCGACTGGTAGTTTATCTCGATTTTCTCTGCGCTTGAATGTATGCTAACGGTTTCCGAGGTCCTAGCTGCTGCCTTTTCGGCCCTCGCTTTCTGGTGATTCATATTACTTTTGTTCGGTGTTGCGCTGATCAATCCTAGACGAGAATCGGTCGGGATATCCTCTGAGTGATAGGGGAGGAGTCGCAAGCGAGTTCGGCGCGAAGCGCCGAGCGAGCAAGCGACGACGACCTGGATGTACCAGCGAGACTGTTGTACGGCTCCGGAGAGAGGGGGTTACTTCTTAGCTCTCAAATAGCGAAGTGTGTGTCTATTGATGTTCGGTGCCTCTGAGTGGGGGTAATAGTGGGGGAGGAGGCGCGAGTGAGTTCGGCGCGAAGCGCCGAACGAGCGAGCGACGACGACCTGGATCCCAGCGAGAGAGGGGGTGGCTTCTTGCCTCTGAAAATAGCGAAGTGTCTGTCCAGCTCTTCAGAGTAAATTCCCACGGCCTGGGACCGTGATCAAAAGTAAATACGTCTGGGCGAGCGTGTTATGGAACTGACTTGGACATTTTCAAGACATTCCGAGTTAATTCTATGGATTTATCTCGACCGCACGTTCAAAAATACTGCCCACTAGCCGAGTCGAACGACTGACCTCAGCATACCATGTCTTATACGAGTGCTGCGCTCTACCAACTGAGCTAAGGGGGCCTCAGAGCCTCGCCTGAGTGAGCAGGTGTGATTGCGCGAGGAATTCCGAGTGGAACGGGTCCAAGAATTAAGGGAATCGAAAAAGAAACGGCCGAGATAGGCTGATCACAATATTATTCAAGTTGCTCGGCTGCGCTCTACCAACTGATCTAAGGGGGCCTCAGAGCCTCGCCTGAGTGAGCAGGTGTGATTGCGCGAGGAATTCCGAGTGGAACGGGTCCAAGAATCAAGGAAATCGAAAAAGAAACGGCCGAGATAGGCTGATCACAATATTCAACAGCGGCAACCGTCCTGTGGATCCACAGGCCGGCGACCGCGCATCGACTGGGTCCAGCCTGTGGATCCACAGGTCGTCACTCGGGCCGGCTGCAACCTGTGCATCCACAGGACGGACTAGACAAGCTTAAGGATTCTATTCTTAGTGAAGGATCCATGTGAATTCAAGTTCAACTCGACGGTACAAACATTATCTACGAGAAAACACAATAGCAGAAAATCCACCTCAAGCTTCCGATTCATTGTCCGAGTCGTCGTCCAACACGATAGCGGGAGGGTGTCGTACACAAAATTCGAGAACGTGGTCAGTAGCGCTAGGAAAGACGAGGTTCAGCAGGTTGCAAAGGGCATTGTGGGTTGACGAAAGATAGCGCGAAAGAGGGCCAACGCCAGTCTGGGCGTTGTATACAGGAATAGCTTTAATCAATTCTTTCACGGTTTCTCCAAAATCGTTGCTGCGGTGGTTCGGTTCCATATTCCGCGGGCTCCAGAAAGAGTCAAAGAGCATTATCGGTCCAAACTAGTTTGCATATGTGGGAGAATGCGTGCCGAGCAAAAATAGAAACTCACCGCATCCCAAACATCTGTTAACCGATTACGCGCGGTGACCTTGGCTTCATTCGAGACTTTCCATTCTTCATATGAACAGGATCCTCCATCCGCATCGTACATGCTCTGATAGAGCGCCGTCTTGCGTCGAGTGCCGCCAGATCCAGTCCCGAGCTGCTTCACTTCGATGCTGAATTCAATTGCATTCACAGTTTGAAACAAGACGCGCAAAAAGTTTGAAACATCCGAGCTCGTCTCTTGGAATGACAGATTCTGAAAGTTCACTGAGTACTTGCATGAAGCCGAAAGGCACTACTCACGCGATGGCGAAGCAAGATTCGTTGCGTCAGATCCTTGACTTTGACGTATTCCAGTTCTTGCTTTAAACAGCCTTGAATTGAGACTGAAGAAAAATCGACGGGGCCACGAGATGCGCGCTGCCCCATTGTTAGCTCGAGAAACGTCGCGCAGGGCAAGCCTACTCACCCAAGAATCTAGAGTTCCGGTAAAGTAACCTCGTGTGAGCTTGGCCATTGCACGGTCTTCTTCTTCCACAAGTTTGCCTCGAAAAGGGTGCAGCAGATCATGGAAAAAGTCGTCTGAAGTCAAGAGGTCGGCGTCGAGGGACTCGGACATGAGCAACTTGGCGCGAGCTTTGCATCGCAGCGTCTTTTCTTCCTTCTTCGTCAGCTTTGGCTTTGGCTAGGGGACACATCAGGTGGGTAGAGATATACGCCAGTAGAGACGTACTGGGGAACATGGTGAAGGTTGAGCGGGATTGGGAGGTTCCGACGAAGCGCGTTGAGAGGGTATCTGTCGGACAGGAGCAACAGGCAAGCGGGAGAGTACGCGATCAAGTCGAGTCCGCAGCTGGAGCTTAAGGCTATGGGTATTAGGGCTATTGGATGTGATATTTTCAAGGGTCTCTTCGATTTCGTTGAGGTGCTCGAGAGCGTCCAAGAGAGACATTTGTGACTGCCGTTACGGCGACGTGTCACACATATTTTCCGCGCAAGATTCCTTAATTCTCGATGTGTACACAGCGGAGCACCAAAACAGCAAGGATAGCAATAAGGATAATTAAGGCAGCCCGCTCCACTCATCAATCCTCCTTTGACCTCGCCTTCTTTCCGGTCTTTGTCGCTCGCGCTGTCGGCCATTCCGCGCCGCGACGGTGCTGAAGCCAGATCTGGCGCGAAAAGTGGGGCGGCAGATCGAGCAGCGAGTTGATCTTATGGAAAACACGGTTCCCGCAACTCTTCGAATCGCATAGCGGGCATTGACGGCCCCCGTTGGCGACTCGGAATTTGGGCTTGGCGGGAGTCGAATCCTTCGTCCGCACGACATCGAGCGACAGGAAAAACCACGCGGTCGGGTCGGGAGGTGCGTCATCGGCGTCGGCGTCGGTAGTCTTGGTGGGGCCTCGACAAATGACCATGTAGAGGTCTTTACGAGGGGCTGCCGGCGTGTAAATCCAGAGATGTGTAGGAAAATTGGGAAAGCACTTACAAGCCGAGAACCACCGCATCAAAGTCTCTCCTTGTGTTTTTCTCCACGCGTTGCGGCAGTTGGGGTTGTGAGGCAGGAAAGCGGGAGGGCAAGTTGATCGAGTCGAGAGCAGCGCGTCGACTGCCAAGGTCAGTTGGATACCTTTCTCATCCAGCTGTTCCTGCGGCAAGTACACGTCTAGCTCGGACTTCAAGTCAGCCAGGGCCGCAAAATCTTCGCGACAGAGGAGCTTTCGCAGTGTTGCACGTTGAGCTGACAAGATCTGGCGCACGGGCATGGCAGAAAGCTTGTGTTTTTGAAGGATTTCTGAGGTGTCGCCGAGAAAGGCGGCGAGGTTATGAAACACGTCGTGGCAATACAAGAAGCGTTCGAGGTCGTAAAAGTCGTCGCCGGTAAGTTGCCGTGTCACTTCGTCGGCGCAGATATGACTGACATCATTGTGACCGCCGATCACAATCAAGGCGCACTTGCGACAGTGGCCGTAACGCCAGCTGTTGAGCAGCTCGGCCACGGGGTACAAGGCACATGCTTTTGTCGCTTTGAGAATCTCCGAGACGTTTCGGTGAAAGATGGCCTCGTAGTCGACATCCACTTTATGAGTACTCCGCCACTCGACGAATTCCTGCTGCTTGCGTTCGGCCTTTTCGTGCCCCGCCTTTGTGCGGCCAAGTGCGTTCGAGGCACGGACGATCTCGGTGCCATCTTTGAGACTTAGAAACCAAGCAGGAAAGGAGTCGGACAGAATTGGATGGCGGTACGATCCAAGATGATTCGGGTCCGGCGGAAGGTCGAAAGAATCCAGTTCACGAGCCTGCTCGAGGAAGGTGTTCAATTGCTGCAGGCGCGCCTCGCCAGATTTTGCAGCTGTGATCGGCTGGCGTCTGTTGTGCCCTGTACCGATTACGTGCTCGTCATTGGCGCGCTTGGACGCGATCAGAGAGCGGAGGAAAGTGATGGCCTGCTCGGTTGATCGGGCTCTGCTCTTCGCTCTCGCGAGCGAATCCGTTACACCTGACACTGCCACCGCTGTTGCCTCATGTTTCTTAACTTTCAGTCATGACTACGCGAAGGTGGTATCAGCCTTTCAAGTCTCAGAAAGGAGGTACATATAAGCACGTTAAATCCTCTTTCCATTTTCGGCCGCGATGGGTTGTTTTGTCTTGTTGCCCAAGAGTCGTGATGGCGATGTACCACTCCGTTTCAACTTTTTACGGTCGTATTCACCACTTCTCGCAACGTTAACGGTGACAATACGTTTGGCCGTAGTCCCGGTCTCAGGCAGCCAAGCCTGTGCATCTCAATTCTCAATTCCGTTCACAGAAATCCACGGCACATAATGCCATTTGATGTCCTTAGTCCGCAACTGTCTACTGAGCACGCACTTTCTGTGGTCCCTCAGACTCCGTTGAGGTCAACGGATTTCGCGGTATTCCGCAAATGCTGGATTCATTTGGCTAGGAGTTGTGCAGATGGCTTCTGGTGATCAATTCAAGTTTTCGCACCGTCAGGCAAACGCTGGCAGGGTCTTATATCGGTAAATCATGCCACCAGTACGCACCTTGATGAAAATTTAATGATCCAGGAGAGCAGTGTGATTGGACAACTTTTTTTATCAAGATAATATATGCTATGCGGCAGTGCCGATATCAATACAAACTGTCCTCATACACCCCGGGAGTCAACATTGACATTGCCTTCATATGCTCCAGCTGCGATGGAAGCAACTGAGGCTTTACTTTACCAGATCGGCATGCCAACTTATGCCTCTTCCATGCGCTCTTCTGGCAGCCTGTTCCGCAATACATGGTCTACAGAGAAGGATCAGTCAGCGACTGACGTAAAGCAGAAGTGATTCCGAGAACAAACCGTCTTGCACTGGGAGCAGAGATGAAGCTGGACAGAACCTCTACCATCAACATTTGCGCACCCCGCCGCCTCGCATCTGCGGTATAGCGGCCCCGCAATTTCGCTTATCTTGGCAGCATTCTCTATGATCTCTGACGCTCGACGATCGACCCCAGAGACGATATAGGTGTCGACAGCCCCGTTCCAGATCCCCACCGTCTCTTTCCACTCGCCCTTGCTCACGGTATTAATCTTGAGTGGGCTAGAAGACCACGTGAGATCAGACCATCGCCGAGAAAGCATGCACTTACTCTGGAACCAAGATGTTGGTGTGTATGATAGCAGCCACGTATGCGGGATCAACCCGACCGCTCGATTCGAGGCGTCTCAGGATCGCTACTTGGTCGTTCCGCAACCTATCCAACCTCTCTTGTACGACCGCTCCGAATCCGCCAATCCCCTCGAACATTTTAATGAGCTTGCTATCGGAGATCTCGTCGGAAATGCTGGGAGGCAGTGTGCTTCTCAAGAAAATCTGCTCTCTGAGCTCCAGTCGATCCCCCTTCCCGTTCCATTGTTCAATCCACCCCATCCCTGTCTGTTTGCTGCAACATTTCGCATAAATCTTTTTGGAACCGCAAGGACAGATATATTCCATGGGATACGGTTTTCCCTCGGAGACCGCATGGCAGTCCTTTAGAAGCATTTCGGAGGCACAAGGACAGGGACGTGGGGGTCGACCTGCTGTGGAGTTTTTGAATTCGGATATAAGGGAGAGAAAGCGGGCTTTGTCGGATTCGTTGTCGAGAAATTGGACAAGG